GCCATCTGCCGCAGTGGTCTCCTTCCATTCAAGACCATAATGGGCTGATGATGGTGGCAGACAATCAAAGGTAAGAACATCATCAATGAACCGATATGTAAAAGCATATCGGCGAGCAGCAGAGGGATCCACACGCTGCAGGTTGTCCACGTACTGCGCCTCATCCCAATAGAGTGTAAGATTGGCAATCTCAGGACCAGCGTTTGTACCCATAGGGATACCGACATCTTGATGACGAACAAGGCCATCCGCTGTATACAAATATGTATTTGTAACAATAAACCGAAGATGTTGAAGAATGTCAGAAACAGAAAGAGTGTCAGKTCCCGTATCCGTAGTCCATTSCCCTRCRCRGGGTCCACGGACCAGCATACGAAGAGCAACACCCGATGAGCGTGTCTGTGTATGCTGCCGTACCTGTGCAAGAGCGTAGGCATGCGCCTCATCAACGGCATTAGCAACATTGTCAAGAATTCGTTGATGAGAAAGATTAGTATACATAGTAGTGAAATCAACTGTATGCGGGGCCAGACCTCTAAGAGAAGCTTTATTCTTTTTGAGGTCAAGCATGACCTCGTCAMTGCTCTGAACAATCCAGCATCGTCGAATACCTTCGGTTCGAAAGAGTTGATTATCTTTTTCGCGAAGAGTACGGATGACGCCTTGAAGTGCTGTACTCAAACGAGCCAAAGTTGGCGTTGTACTAGCTACCGGCTTGTGAGGCGGTCGGTGATGCAAACGCTGGACTCGTTGGGAAGGGTGCAGGTCACTTCGCCTATCGTTAAACAAATGTATAAATCCACTATGTATATTGTATATGTATGTCTGTGTACCGGCGGATTCACTTGATTCTGCGCCCTGTTCAGGGCGGCGTTGTACTACTCAACCAGCGTCATGACCACCCGTCCAATCACGCCGATCTGCTGGGTGCCACGTGGACATCCCACGTGATCACGCTTCTGATGCCACGTGGGCATCCCACGTTATCACGCTTCTGATGCCCCGTGGACATCCCACGTGATCACGCCTCTGATGCCACGTAGGCTGTCCTTCTGATTGCTACGGGATTCCTCCTCGAACGGCTGGGTGCCACGTGGACATCCCACGTCAATCTGCGCTGCGCCTATGGTTGTAGCCTCTTTCTGACTTGTGCTTTGGACAGTGAACGGGATTGCTCACAGGCGTCATCTGATCAGCAGCTCCGATTGATCCCGCGTTGTACAAGTGAGGAGCGCCGTCCACGTGGCACCAGAGGTGTGAGCTGGTGGGCAGTCTGAGTTGTATTGGATTGCTCCCACGATCCTACGTGCTGCTGCCACGTGGACTGCTCATCAGCTCACACCTCTGTTGCCACGTAGACGATGCTCCTTACTTGCTCAGAGTGGTTGAGGAGGACTCTTTGCCTGCTGTACAGCCAGAAGTCGATTATTAAATTGCCGGCCAATTACCGTAGTCGGAAAGGGATTTTTTTAATTATTTTTTTTTGTTGACGGTCATGATCTTCATGATCTGGTTGATCGTCGATTGCGTGTTCAAAAATACGTGACCCTCATGATGGAAAAATGGCGGTCAAGTAGGGGACCCCCATGATTGAATAATCAAATGCGTTAACCCCTATAGATATGATCAAATACGTGACCCTCGTCATCAAATGATGTAATACGTGACCCCCCCCATCATCGAATGATCAAATTCCTGACCCCCTCTTGTTCAAATGATTAAGTATGTGATCTCTAGGATCCAAATTCGCGACGCCCGTGATGAAATAGGTGACCCCTATTATGATAAAATGATCAAATAGGTGACCCCTATTATGATAAAATGATCAAATAGGTGACCCCTATTATGATAAAATGATCAAATAGGTGTCCCCCATTATGATCAAAT